GGGGAGCATTCTTTGGTTTTACCTACTAGTATTTAGATCTATATTCATGTCCTCGGCTTCAGTCTTGCTGTGGTCAAGGTGCTTAAAAAAATTTGGCCTGATGGTCAAAATATCGTTTGAATATTATGATCTTTTTGTAAAATATTTGTAAAGTGTTTGTGTCTTGCGGTATTTATTTGTACATAGGTTTGTCACAGAACAATGCAGTCTGTCTACTCATGCCTTCCTGCCGCTAGTGCTCACCCTTGTTGTAAACGAAGGGAGCTGCCGGAAAGTGTTGGAAAAAAAGAAAATGGAATTCGTATGTTGGGTAAGGTTCAGAATGGGGCGTATACAGTTTGAGAGCATTCTTTTTTGTATGTTGTTTTTTAAACTGTTTTTTGTTACTCTCAATGAGCTGTCTTTTTCCAGCAATTTCAGGACTGGTAGTTTTGAGACACACGCGGATGTTTGGTTCCTGGACTTACTTTTGGTTTTACTCGTTTTGTTTCCATTTTTTCACTGTTAAGTTGGTTTGCCTTTCCATCTCTTTTTAAACTTTGTATTGACTTCTTTTGTTAAAGTTGGTTGTGCGTTTTAATTTAGTTTTAGGTCTGCAGAACTTGTTGCTTTTTTTCAGTTTCTTGTTTAGTATTTGTTTTTGTGATACCTTGAATTTTTAGTTCACTTTTCTGTATATTTGTTCTTGGATAGTTGAGAATTGTTTATAGTATAGTTCTTTTGGGCAGTGTCTGTCTGTAATTTCCGATGCTGTGTCATTGATTTTGATTTCTTTGTTTGGCCAGCCTTGTTGCGGATGGGTGTTTTTGTTACAGTGTAAGGGTGTTATGCTGCTTAGAGGGTTGGCGATGGGGGAAAGCTGTTGTATTTGTAGAGTGTTCTTTCTTGTGTGCGATTTATTTAGCTGCTCACTTCCAATGCCTCCCGAATCTTTTTGTCCTGTGAAGCTTCCAATGCTCTGTTGTTCTTTTTTGTTAGCTCCAGTTTCCTGGGGTGGTTGGGGTTTTTTTTTTCATTTTTGTATAACTATGTGTGCTTAGTTGTTGTATTTTTCAGTTTGTCCATTGATAGTATTGTGTTGGTTGTCTTGTAGTAGCAATGGTTTCATTCTCTTTTGTCACCTTTATTCGTGAGTATATTTAGTGAGAGTTGGATTTTATTTCTCTCCAAGTTTTCATTTCATGAACTGTATTTGAGTTACGCTCATAATGTCCCTGTGTGTGGCATGTTGCGTACTGGCTTCACTGGGGTTGAAAAAAGCAAACAAAAGCAACAAAATGCAGATGTGCATGAGGATTGTCCATTGTAAGTTGAAAACCATGTGGTGACTGCTATGGGGGCTCAAATAGCTCCAATGTGTGGTGTTTTTCTCTGAAGTTTTCACCTCTCATGCCAGATTTGTATATGTTTTTATTTTTAATTTGTAAAAAAACCCAACTATTTACTTAGTTTAGGTAGACTTTACTTTATTAAAAATGATTCCGAAAACATAACAAACTTACCACATTGTTGATGCGGCAAGACAAATAATACCGGTCGCCTAAGAAGTGAGGAAAGCTGTTTTCTAGTTCAAGTGAAAAGACCAAGTCGTATATGGAGAAGATAGAGTCGGTGTGTGTTGAAAATCTATTTTCATTGACTAGCTGTGAAATTTTTTAATAAATTGCAGAAAAGAAAAGATGAAGGGACAGGGATGAAATGTGATGAAGGTAGGCACATGGTTTGCAATTTACAATGGAGATAGGGCCGTTGACGCTTCAGCTCATCGGGGCCACTGTTTACACATACAGTGTAAGA